GCTACTCCCAGCCTCTATCTTGGCCCTATTCCAACCTCCCGCCATTCCACACCTGTCTCGGCCAACTTCTTTCCCTTCCTCTGCCTCTGCCTGTGGAAATCCTGACCATCCTGGACTGATTGCAAAGTTATCTACTCCAGAATGTGCCATAGGACACATTAGTGAGCAAAAGCAGAGGTGTGAGTGAGCGGTGCTACACTTTGTGGAGAAAATATAGAGGCACACTTCCTTGTATATGCCTAATGTTTCTAGCAGGATACCGCAGAAGTCCAAACTGTCAGAAAGGAGAGGACCTGGATGGATGGGAAGTGTGAGACCTCCAACAATGCTCCTTTTTCAAGATTGTTTTGACTATCTGGGACCCCTTGAGGGTCCATATGAATTTTAGGATAGACTGTTTATTTCTGCAAAGAAGTGGTTGGGAATCTTTTTTTCAGTGCTGGAGATGAAACCCAGGCCCTTGCTAGGCAGGAGACCTACATGGAGCTACACCCCCAGCACTTTCTGTGGCATCTTTAAAAGGGTTATTTTCATAGAAGATCATGTTGTCTGTGAACAGAGATAATTTTATTTCCTTTTTTTCAATTAGGATGCCTTATATCTCTTTATCTTGTCTACTTGCTCTGGCGAGGACACCTATAAGAGTGGTGGGAGCAGGCATCCTTGTCTTGTTCCTGATTTTAGGAAAAAAGTCTTCTTACTTTTAAACTATAGGAATGTTTCACCTGGGGCTGGAGTTGTGGCTCAGTGGTAGAGCACTCGCCTAGCATGCATGAGGCACGGGATTCAATCCTCAGCACCACATTAAAAATAAAGTAAAGATATTTAAAAAAGGAATATTTCACCTGCTCAAAATAAATTTAAATACGCTTTTTAATTTTTTTTTAATTTTAGATATTCATGGACCTTTATTTATTTATTTATTTATATGCGGTGCCGAGAATCGAACCCAGTGCCTCACACATGATAGGCAAGCACTCCACCACTGAGCCATACATAACTCCAGCCCCTTAAATATACTTTTTATCTAGTAGCTTCCCATTGCCCATAGTAGAAGCAGCCTCTGTATTATCTGGGTACTGCACAGGTCTGTGTTTATAGAGTACCTGCCCTGTTAATCTCTCAGGCTTTTTTTCCCCTCCCAGTACTTGGGATTGAACCCAGGGCCTGTACATGTTAGATGAGCTGCTACCACCAAGGTGCACTCTAGCCCCTTCACTTAATAGTTTCTGGTGCCATGGCCTAACAGGCACTAGAAGAAACCATAAGATCTGCACCCATGTGGCTTATGGGCATCTGGGAGAGATGGTGGTGGTGAGCCCAGGCATGTTCTGAGCCATACCCACTGGAAGGCATTGTGACCTGTGTAGTTACCCTTTCTGAACTGTCTAGCAGGCCAAAGGCCAGGCCCTAGCTGCCCTGACTCACCTTGACCAAAGCCTGTCTGGTTGGCCAAGGTTGGGGTGGAAATCTATTCTGGTATGAGGCGCTGCATGAATTAGAGGAAGAAACCAGGACAAATTAGATAGGCTGTTTGTTAGATCGCATGAGATACCTATGCCAAATCAAGATCAAAGACGTGGGATCTGGGGTGTGATCAGTAGTAAGGCAATTGTCCTGCATGCATGAGGCCAGGTTCCAACCCAGCAACACACACATACAAATACGGAAGAAAAAAAAAAGTAAAGGATCCCACAGAAGGATTACTTACTCAATGCCTACTAGAAGAAGGCAGGAACAGACAGCTCTTCCCCAAAGAGATTAAAGGGAAAAAATAATGCAGCACACAAAGGAGCCAAATAAAAAAGCAAACTATATATGGCATTTGTTATGTGTCCAGGGTGCTCTGATCATGTTACGTCCATCAGCTCACTCGACCCTCCTGAGAACCCTGTGAGCTGGGCAAGGAGCTTATGGAAGCTCCACAAAACAGAAGCAGAAAAATAGGGTGTGATCTGTCCTCAGGGCAACACAGTACCACAGCCTTGGGTGGCAGGGACAGGAGAGGCCTGAGATTTCTGTAGTCAGGTGAGAGGGCTAGGAAGACTGTCTTGGAAATGTTGGCAGATGGGGACATTGCGGTTAGAAGAGTTTGGAAGCCAGCACTGATCTTTAACTCTGCAGGTAATTTAAGCTAAGTCCCTTTGGGGAAGAGATGACTTACTGGTGACTGTTTCCAGGACTGTTAGGAAAGAAGGACTACTTCTATGTGGATAAAGAGAGATGGTTTGTGTGGTGGTGCTTGCCTGTAATCCCAGGGACTCCAGAGGCTGAGGCAGGAAGATCCCAAGTTCCCAGCCTCAGCAATGTAGCAAGGCCCTAAGCAACTTAGACTCTGTCTCAAAATAAAAAATGAAAAGGGCTTGGGATATAGCTCCGTGGTAAAGCAACCCTGGGTTCAATCCCTAGTACCAAAAAAAAAACAAGAGAGATAGCCAAGTGTAGGCACATGACTCATACCTGAAGTCCCAGGTACTTGGAAGGCTGAAGCAAGAGGACTGCTGGAGCCTAGGAATTCCAGACCAGTCTGGACAACACAGGGAGACCCTGTCTCAAAAGAAGAAAAGAAAGAAAGAAAGAGAAAGAATGAGATATCAAAAGAGAGCTTGTTATGGCTTCTAATTTTTCTAAAGGAAAACCAAGCGTAATGATTCAACTTTATTTATTTATTTATTTGTGGGTGGTGGTACTGGGGATTGAACCCAGCGGTATTCTGCCACTGAGCTACATCCCTGGCCCTTTTTATTTTGAGATAAGCTCTCACTAAGTTGCCCAGGCTGGCCTTGAACTTGTGAATCTCCTGCCTCAGCCTCCTGAGTAGCTGAGATTACAGAAGTGTGACACTGCACCTGGATGAATTTTTTTTTTTTTTTTTTTTTGCATATGGGATAAGGAATGAAATTCAGTGGGGACATGTTCATAAATGTTGTGATAACTTCTATAACTTGCTTATCCTTATAAACTTCCTGGGAGATTGCTATTTATCTCTTGTGACTTTGACCCTGGCAAAGAGGCTCAGGAATTATTTCCCTTTACAGGCTCAGAAAGCTAATTTACTTGCCCTAAGATCTGTTTTTTGTTTTAATATATTTGGTTGTAGATGGAAACGATACCTTTATTTTACTTATTTATTTTTTTGTAGTGCTGAGGATGGAACCCAATGACTCACATATTCTAGGCAAGCGCTCTATCACTGAGCTGCAGCCCCAGCTCCTAAGGTCTGTTTGATTCAGAAGGCTCCCCTTACTACTAAACACTCATAAGTTTCCGCCTCTGAATTAATCACATTTTCCTCTTCCCCTCCCCCGCCCTGTACTGGAGGGGTGCTCTACAACTGAACTACATCTGCAGCCCTTTATATTTTTTATTTTGAGATAGGGTCTCACTAAGTTACCCAGGCTGGCCTTGAACTTGTGATCCTCCTGCCTCAGCCTCCCAAGTATGGCCAGGTATGAGCCACTGTGTCAGTTATGAGCCACTGTGTCAGGCAATCATATTTTTCTCAGGGTTTAATTGTCCTCCTTTCTCATTTCTGCATTCTCTTTTGGGTTTCCCTAGAATCCTCCTGAGAGGTTCCCACCCCTGCTATAAACAGTTTGCAAAACCCCAGAACACTGGCTCATTCCCTGAGGATTCCTCCCAGCCTGTTAGATCCTTTGTGGGGGTACAGGCAAGTTTCTCATTGGTGCCTTTTAATTTTTTTTTTCCAGTGCTGGGGATGGAACCCAGGGCCTCACACATGCTAGGCAAATGTTCCACCACTACATCCCCAGCCCCACAGGCACCTTTTTAGCAGATGGCCTCTGGACACCCCATTATTCCAAAAAGATCTGGGTGTGGTAACACTTGCCTGTAATCCCAGCGGCTCAGGAAGCTGAAGCAGGAAGATTGCAAGTTCAAAGCCAGCCTCAGCAACTTAGCAAGACAACTCAGCGAGACACTGTCTCTAAATAAAATATAAAAAAGGGTTGGGGAGGGCTGGGAATATAGCTCAGTTAGTAGAGTGCTTGCTTTGCACACAGGACCTGTATTCAATCCCCACCATCATACACACACACACAAACACACACACACACACACATACACACACACACACACGGCTGAGGATATGGCTCGGTGGTTAAGTGCCTCTGGGTTCAATCCTGGGCACAAAAATAAATAAATAAATAAATAAATATTCCAAAAAAAGACTCCTTGATTCTTCAAAGTTACTTTCCATCAGCCAGCTGTGGTGAAGGCTCTCAGGCTTCACTATGAAAGCCCTATTCCCTGTTTGGTTCTAATTTGGCTTTGAGGAAAGGAAACCATCCTCTGTTTGTTTAACTCTGCCCTAAAATCAATATTTCTATCCAGACCCCAGGTATTGGGCTAATTGATTTTTGAGATGTTTTTGGTCATAATTTATCCAAGTGCTAGCTAGATAAAACAAAATAATGTTTTGTCTGTACTTTCCTGAAAGTTTATTTAAATTCCTCATTAATTACTGTTTATAAGGCGATTTGGAATATCCATCAAAAACTATATGCAACTAAACTTAGAAATCCACACACAATTGCTAGAAAGGAAAAGGCAAATACAGAAAGGAGAGAAGAGGAAAGGAAGTTTCCAATATTTCTATTTTCCTTTTGCGGCAGAAAGGAGATCCTCGTTAGACCATGGGAGCATTTCAAAGGATGAAGATTATTCTTTGGGAATGAAAAAGAAACGTGGCAGTTTCAAAAGTTGAGACATTTCAAGGAATCTTTCAAGAGATGCATTTCAACTGAGGGGGGGAAATCTACTCTTCACGGAGGACTAAATCAAGCCCCTGTTTTGGAGCAGCTTTGAAAGAACTGGAATCCAAGTCAGGGCTTCACGGGTTAAAAAGCCGATGTCACATCGGCCGTTCGAAGCTCCTCCTCCGCAGTGAGGTGAAGAGTTTTGAAAATCACCCCACTGCAAACTCCTCCCCCTACTAGAAACCTCACATAGAAATGCTGCAAATGACTCTAGCCCCGCATGTAGTCGCCGCTGAGCTGCTCGAAGCCTTGGTTTCCAGCAGGGATAGAGGGGTTGTAGCCGGGCGGAGACACTGTAGGTGGACGCTGTGAACATGAGGACCGCCGACTGGGGGCTGCACTGGGCTGTCGCACTACTCTTCGCTGCGGTGGGGGCTAAAGGTAAGGCTTGCTCCAGGATCCCCTGCGGGGTAAAGGCAGCCCACTGATCTCCGGGAGCCTTTTGGTAATTTAGAAGTGAGGAGCGAAAGAGAATCACTCCTTGCTTGGGAGACTTGTGGGTACAAGGCACAAGGATCCTCCCAAGCGGCTGGAGAGAATACTCATGGGAGGGAGGAGCAAGGATTGTGGGAGTCACTGTAGGCTCAGTGGAAACCTAGCTCGACTATTCCAAGTCTCCGCCTGGGAAGGGGCCACCGCAAATTCCTCAGAGTGGGTGTAGGGACATCCAGGCCTAAATGTTGAGATTTCCACCCCCCATGCTTGGGGCAAGGGTGACTCGAAGCCCCACTGCCCAACTTGGAGGCCTGGTATACTCTTTCACCTCTGCCCACAGGCAGTAGGGTCCAGATGGGCTTTGTGCCGGCTGGAACTCTTGTAACCTCCCAAGCTCCCAGCGCGGGATAGCCCAGGGGTACCGCCCCAAGCCCCGCCTCCAGGACCCGCCCCCAGGCTTCCATTGGGTGCAGTCTGAACAGGCGAGCCTCGAGCCACTCCCCTTGTCCAATGGGAGTCAGAGGCGGATGTGTAAGGCATGGCTTGTGAATACGCAGGGCGGGACTGGCGTGGTACCCTGGGCAGGCTGAGTCCTGTCACAAAGGAGGCCACACGTTCTGAAGCTGCTTCCGGGAGCATGGAAAGGACCCGCTAAGCACGCCTAGGCAGAGGCTGCAGTTTCTTCTCCAGCTCCACCTTTTTCTTCACCTCCCCGTCAATTACACAGATGTGGCCCAGGCCACCCTTAGACCTCAGGGCTGAAATGTTACCTTAGAAACTCCCATTGCTCCTTGGTCCAAACCTGAGACTTGCAGCCAGGGTGGGGCGGGGACCACACCCTTTAGGGTGGCCGAGTTGCCCATGTGGCGATTTTTCCTTTTAGGAGGGCAAGTTTGAATTTAGATTTGGCCAAGAGGCCAGTTGGTACAAGATCCCGAGTTACGGCTTTCTTAGATGGCTTTAAATTAGCTTCCTAGAGGCAGTCGGCGCTGCTTTAGGCAAGAGCTAAATGGTCTTTTTCCTACTCAGAACCGCTTAAACTTATGAAAGGACAGGCAATGCCTGAGCAACCATGTAGAAAAAGGTTTTGTTGTTTTACTGGCTGGCGTTTGGCTTCGGAGGAAGAATTCTGAATGTCTTGTCTTGAAATTCCCACTGTGACACACCCATTTCCGCTGGGAGAAGGAGAGAGGATGCTTCAAAATAGCCAGCATGACTGTTGGGATATTTCAGCCACCTAGATGTATATATAGAATGGATAGAGCCAGCTTCCTCAGGGTGCACCAGATTACCTTGTCCTTCACTCACTGATCCACTTTAGAAAATGTGGCCAGTTAAGTCTTGAGCAAGACTAACATGAGTGGCTCAATTTCGTTTCCTGTCTCTCTGGTTGGCCAGGCTGAGGATCTGATGTGTCTTCTCTTCCCCAGGATGCTGTTTCCCCAGACTTCAGAGAGCCCCATCATACTGTATGTTTTTAGTAGCCCTAAGGGCTCCAGCTAGCTTCCCAGCTGTCTTCAGAGCACTTCCTGAAACATTTCTTGTCAGTTTCCTTTAAGAATGGAAGTAGTTGGAATCCAAACTGCTTGCCTTCATTTAGCTAAAAATCAGATCGGGATCATCAACTATTGTGTGTGAGGTGTCTACAGGGTGATCTTTCTTGAAATTAAAACCTTTCTGGGAGAATTAGTTCCTTATTCTTTCTAGGAAATTCCTGCTCTTATCTATAGGATTACACTTCTGATAAGATCCAACTCTAGATGCTTCTGTTGCTTGGTGCTTTTATGAGCCTTTTGATGTCCCCTTTTCATATTAAGTACATTAACAGCGTTCACACCCTTCCTGGATATCAAGCAAATGGCCTTTTGTTGCTAACTGACTCTGGAATTAAGCAGCCTTGAACAGTGACAGAGACAGGCTATCCTTCCCAAAAGGAACAGGTGACAAAATTTACCTGCCTTTGGGAAAAAGCATCCATGCACTGACCTGTCTTGTGGTTTTCTTTGTTGGTGCTGGAAATGAAATCCAGGGCCTCTCCTTTATTTTTTTATTTTATTTTTTTTAATTTTCCTTCATTTTTTTAGTTGTCAATGGACTTTATTTTATTTTTATGTGGTGCTGAGAATCGAACCCAGGACCTCACTCATGCTAGGCAAGTGCTCAACCCCTAGGCTGAGCTACAACCCCAGCCCTGATCTTGTTTTTGGTACTGAAGATGAAATCCAGGGCTGCTCTGCCACTGAGCTACCTTTCTGGCCCTTTTATATTTTTATTTTAAGAGTTTCGCTAAGTTGCTGAGGCTGGTTTCAAACTTGCAATCCTCCTGCCTCAGCCTCCTGAATCGTTTTCCCCCTTTTTAGGAGACAGAGTTTTTGCTATATTGCCCAGGTTGGCCCCTAAGTCCTTGGCTCAAGTGATTTTTCCCAACTCAGCCTCCAGAGTAGCTGGGACCACCAGTGCATGACACACTGCTCAGTGGTCAATTGATTTCTCAATTTCTCATTTATTTTCAATTTGAGTTTGCGACTGCCAATGGATTTTCTTTTTTCAAGGAAACAATTGTATACACTATTTTGTTTTCTCCGCACCACAACTATGTTCAATAGCCTGGGAAAAACATCGAAAGCATTCACCACCTGATTTGTATGTGGGCATGAAAAGCAGAAATGTGTGTTCTTCTTTTCTGTTTCGATAACTTTGTTTCTGGCTTGTCATTCATGACATGAGAGCGCTAAGTTTTGAGTCTAAGAGATGTTTTTTTTTTTCTTTTTTTTCCTTTTTTTTTTCAATGCTGGGGGGTGGAACTATATATATATATATATAGTTTTTTCCATATATATATATATATATTTTTTTTTAGTTGTAGATGGACACAATATCTTTATTTTATTTATTTTTATGTGGTGCTAAGGATCGAACCCAGTGCCTCATGTGTGCTAGGCAAGCACTCTATCACTGAGCCGCAACCCCAGTGCCTCCCCTCCCCTGGACCAAGGGTATTTGCATGCTAAGCAAAGCACTCTGCCACTGAGCAACAGCTCCAGCCAGGAAACTTTTTTTTTTTAATTTGGTACCAGGAATCAAAACCAGGGGTACTTACACGGAGCCACATCGCCAACCCTTTTTTAAAAATATTTTTTATTTTGAGACAGGGTCTCAGTAAGTCGCTTAGGGCCTTGCTAAGTTGCTGAGGCTGGCTTTGAACTCACAATCCTCCAGCCTCAGCCTCCTGAGCTGCTGGGATTAGAGGCATGTGCCACCATGCCTGGCCCTTAGATCTTTTTTTAAGGGAGGGTGCAGTGCTTAGAATATCGTAGGCATCCCTAGCATGAGGAAACAGAGATCTTGAGCACCTGTGCTAAAAATCCGAATTGTAGCTAGGGGAAGACTTGATGTCCAGGGAGGGGATTTTATTTTATTTATTCATTTTTTTTTTGGTGGTACTGGGGATTGAAGCCAGGGGTGCTAAACACCCCCAGCACTCCTTTTCCCGGACTCCTTAGTTTTTGAGACAGGATCTGGCTGTGTTGCTGAGGCTGGTCTTAAACTTATGATCCTCTTTCCTCAGCTCCTGAGAAGGTGGGCTAAAAGAAGTGTGCAACCACTCCCAGCTTCTTTCATTCTATAAGGGGCTTTTAGGTGTTATTAGTATTTCCAGTCCTTCAAATGGCACATTTAGTTTGTAACATGGTCCCTTATGCAAAGATGAGAGCAATGGATTGATGGTCACCAGAGCTGCTGTCGCCAGATGGGGTGACAGAAGCTCCTCCCCCAAGATCTTTATTGCCAGTGCCCCATGCCTGAACTTCCCTTTTTATTTATCGAAATCCTGGAATCCTAGTTGCTTTTTGCCCACTCTATGTGCGAGTGAGTCATTTCCTTCTTTTAGCCCGATCACTACTCAGCTATGAGTCAGTAGGGTGTGGGGTACATTGTAGCACCTCTAAGGGATTTATCCTGTTCAGATAAGTAATGGGGCAGTAGAATTATCAGTATCCTGTAACCACAGCTGACTTCAGAACTCATTTGCTTCTCTCTTCCCTTCCTGTTTTCTACCCATATTCCTATCATATGGCTCCCAACTGGGGCCACTCAGGACAGGCCTACTTGGAACTTACAGTTATCAAGTTCTTTTTATTCTTCTGAATCCTCCTTTATATCTCCCCATCATTACAACTTCCATCCATCTTTCAGCCCTCCTCATGCCTCTCCTAATCTCACCTGGACTGCTTCCTAACCTCTGCCAGAGGCACAGAACTTGAATCTGGAAGATCTTGGAAGATCTTTTCTTTTCCCATGCTGGGGATGGAATCCAGGGCCTTGCTCATACTAATGTTCTCTACCACTGAGCTCCACCCCAGCCCTGGTTTTTTTTTTTTTTTTTTTTTTAATTGAGATACAATTGACATTATTAAGTGGACAGATATTAAGTGACCAGTTACATGAGTTTTTATCATTCTCTACATCCATGAACCACACACCTTCCATGAGGATACAAAATACTTCTAGCCTCCCAGAAAGTTCCATTGTACCCTTTTCCAGCAAAATCACTCCTCCCACAACACACACACACATCTCAGAGACAACCACTAATCTGATTTCTGGAATTAGAAAATTAGTTTTGCCTATAAAAGAATGGAACATAAATGCAGAGTATGTACTCCGGAGCAAAAGAAGTCAGAGACAACATAAGGTTTTTGGGATCTGTGTTGATTTGTGTGATAACCCTTTGGCTCTTATTTCTGAGTAATACACCATTAGATAATATGTTGGAGGAGTCAGATTATTATGATTTTACACATACATCTATATAAATCTCTCTCTCTTTTTTTTTTTTTTTTTGAGGCAGTCTCCCTAGGTTGCTTACAGCCTCACACCTCACGAAGTTGCTGAGGCTGGCATCGAACCTGCATGATCCTCCAGCATCTGCCTCCTAAGCCATGGGG